GAGAAGATTAGGCCGATCTCTCAGCCTGATCTGCTCCCAAGCCGAGGTAGTAGAAAACACACCCGATGATGTAAGTCTCCACCTCATGCCATCCGAACCGTCCCCCGAGATGGGGATCTGCTGGATCTGATCTAATAACTGCTCGCTAAAGCCCGCCCCGGAACCTAGCTCTCTATCAAGCTTCCCCCTATCCCACGACCCGTCCGTCCACAGGTCGCTCACAAGCAGGTAGGGGGAATGCGATACCTGCCTATCGCTAGACAACGGCCTATCACCTAACCACCACTCATCCCAAAAACTAACATCACCCTCACCCAAAACCCAAAAGATGTGATCCTGGGAACGCCTACCGACCCTAGTGAGGCGCCGCCACTGTCTGCTATCATGACTAACCGCCATCACCCAACAAGGGTGGTTGGCACGTCTAGAGCAGTACTTGCCGCGAAGGTACTGGGCCCAAAGCGACTTTCCTTCCCTGAAGCGCCACCACAACTTGTAGGAGAAGGCAGTAGCTATATCCCTAAGACGGCGGATGCCAAGGCCTCCCTCAGAGAAAGGCCGGCAAATAGAATCCCAACTCACCCAGTGGGTACGTCTTCCCCTCCCGGAACCATCCTCGTAACCCCAGAAATAACGAGCCATAATCTGGTCAATCTCGTCAAGAGTAGACCTAGGGGGGTCGAGGACCATAAGTAAGTGAAGCGGAAGAGAGCTAAGGGTGCTCTTGATCAGCCCAAGCCGACCACCGAAGGAAAGGTGTCTATGCGACCAACCAGAGATCCTATCGATCATCCTCTGTCTAATGTCTACAAAGAGCGCTCTCGAGAGGTGATCCTTATATAAAGGGGCACCGAGGTAGGTAATGGGAAGGTCGCCGCGCGCAAAGCCAGTGATCTCGTGGATCCGCTGAGCCCAACTGTCCGCGCTAGAGGAGGAGAGGGTGAAGGTGCTCTTCTGCACACTGATCAGCTGGCCGGTAACCAAGCTATAGTGCTCCAGAAGGTGCATA